GGGCGGGGCGGCGAGCGGGGCGGCGAGCGGGGCGGCGGGCAGCGCAGCGCCCAGCGGCCGCCGGCCCCGGAGGAGCACACCGAGGAGGTGGCAGCGCGGCCGGCCGCCTGGAGGCTCGAGTGGCAGAAGATACGAGAAAAATATTCGGATCTATTCCGGGGCAACGAGTCCGTGCCACAGGAGCGGCTCAACGAGATCGTCGGCTCGCTCATGGAGAAGTTGCCCTCCTTCTTCGCCAACGTGGTGCGGGAGGGCGAGGCGCTCGCCGAGGGGTACGGCATCAGGTGCGAGCGGCTGCGCGTCGGGCGCGCAGGGCCGGAGGTGGAGGCGGAGGTGGAGGTGGAGGCGGAGGCGGATGGGAGGTGCGGGGAGGCGCTGGGGGTGTGCTCGGGCGAGCTGCGCAGGTTCCTGGTGCGGCTGTTCAAGGCGGTGAACGAGAGCAGCGCGCGCGTGCTGCAGGACTACCTGGAGATGTACAAGGTGGACGTGAACATCGACCGCGTGCTGGGGAGGCGCGGCATCCTCGACACGCTGCGGGACATCAACCGCGAGGCGGAGGCCGAGGTCTGCAAAATCTACGCAAAGAAAATACAAAGCCTCGTCATAAACGAGGGCAAGAAGCGCGGCCTGCGCGCCGCTCATTTGACTGATTTGATAAAAAATATAACGGAAAACGTGAAAATGCACACGAATCAAATCATACGAGTGCAAATGGAGCCCATCGACACGGAACTGAAGGAGAGGATTTTAAAAGACTTGGATGACAACATGAGAGTGGAGCTGGACCGGCTGGCGCGCGACCTTGAGCACACCATCTGCTCCGCCTTCGCCACCTGCAACGGGCACTACACCGTGCGGCGTGCTGGTGCTGGTGGTGGTGGTGGTGGTGGTGGTGGTGGTGCGGGGGGCGGGCGCGGCGTGTTCGTGCGCGTGCAGCTGCAGCTGGAGGAGCGGCCAGCACGCGCCCCGCGCCGCACCGCATCAGCGCTACGACACTCGGGCAACTACACAAGGCCGATACAAATTAAATATTCAACGTTTGACAGAAAGATTTACGACATGAAATTATTAAATGTAACGAGAACGACTAGATTTTATAGTCAAAATGGCAATACAAAAATTACTCAGTAAAATTAATTTTTCAATTCCAAAATTTGGAGGAAGCGAGTCTGCGGCGTGAGTGCGATATGTCCGCCTCCACACTGTAGGTAGACGAGGCTGGGGGCGGCGGCAGGAGGCGGCAGGAGGCGGCAGGAGGCGGCAGCAGGCTACGAGCTGCAGAGTACGGGGAAGTGCTGCAGGCGGCCGCTGGACCAGGCCACGGTGAGGCAGGCGCCCTCGGCGAAGTCGTGCTGGAAGGCCAGCGTCGTCGGCGTCTCCTCACCCACTCCACGCACCAGGCAGCTGGAACACGTCACAGAAACACATAGACTAACGTTATGTCTCTAACGAAACGAACGTGGGCCATTTGCCCACCTCGGATGAAGGAAGGTGGATATAATGTGCATCTATATCCAATTATTTCATAGTGGAACACTCCTCCGACTCCTCACATATTGATACACTGACTTCCAGACTTGTCACTTTCCACATGGGTAATCAAGGAAAACCGAGCAATGTACCATGGCGTGATTTTGAGCTGCGTGTGGAGTTGCGTGGTAGCGAAGATGGCGACGAGGTGCGTCTCCTCGAAAGTGATGGCGAGGTAGCGGCCGCGCGGGCACCAGCACATGTCCAGCACGGGCCCGCCCGCCGCCTCGCCGCCGCCCAGCGCCGCCTTGCTCACGTCCAGCACGGCCTGAGCGCGCGCCGCCCCGCCCGCGCCCGGCCCCGCCCCACCTGCGCTCCCCAACACCACACACATCATTATTCTACACCTTGAATAGGTGCACTTGTGCTACATATTTTGTTATTGTTAAATAGCTTGTATCAATTAGTATGGAAGTTGTGGCAATGAAAATAGTTTGATTACGGTATAAATAAAATATATAATGACCGTTGAGGAGAGGCGTGTCGGTGAGAGCGTAGATGACCGGTTCGCCCTTGGCGGCGAACAGCATTACGTTATTGGGCCCCCAGCAGGCGGCCGCCACGCGCCCTCCCCGCGCCACCCACCGCTCCGCGCGCCACGCGTCCGTGTCCCACACCCTGCCCACACACCATACAATACTAAATTACACACAGGTATAGACTATACGTTGACTGTCAAAAATAGTTCAAACTGAGTACAAATCGGAAACTTTTAGTACAAGAAAATGTAAAAAATGACCGCCACAATGGGTTAAATTAAATTAATTTGTTCATTTGAGCGAGTGAGAAGTACAATAGAAATTGTTGTTCATATTTACCTAAATACAATAGAGGAGGTAGCGGAAAAGAGTCTGGTGCCATCCAGAGACCATCGTGTAAATACTAGGCCGCCACCGGCAACGCGGCGCAGCGGCACCGCTGTGCCTAGTGCCACATCCCACAGCAGCAGCGCAGGGTCTGCAGCACTGCAGCTGGCTAGCAGTGCACCGCTCGGGCACCAACTGACATCCGTCACGGGGCTATGCCCCCAGCTGAAATGACATCTTATTGATAATGGGATTCTACTAGCTATATTTTCATACAACTTATTATAACAATATAAACATGAGACATTTTGTATGAACATGAAATATTTTCTATAAAATTAAACTGAGATTATTTCTATATAAATATTTGAGCTGTTTCTGCTGCTGTCTGCTGTTAAAAGAATTTACATAATTATTTATATCATTCACTTTTCATTACATAATATATTTTTGTAAAAGTTCACTAATTGTGACAACATAAGTGAATTGCTATTATACTAGTTTAATCATTATTAAAAGGAATATTGTTAAATATACCTTTTTAAAACAACAGCATTGCTTGAAGATGGTTTAGTGAACATTGAATTAGGGTCAACAGTCCAGACAATGACGCCTTGCTCACATCCAACCGCTATCTCTGAGGCGGAATAAGGCCGCCAGCTGAGCGAGGACACGTGCCCTTGCGCCTTGCACTTCAGCGCAGACACGAACGCCACGTCCGCGCTGTACACTCGCACATTATCATCCGCAGTAGCTACCGCTATCTTCGTTGTGTGTGGATGCCAGTCTAAACACTTGATAGGGGCTGAATTCCAATTTCGAGACCGAGAGTATTTCGATACGATCTTCGGTCCTATATCTTTTAAATGGGGTTGTATGAAATATCGAAATGCAGTAAAAAGATTGGATACTTTCAAAACATAGGATGCGGTGACTGCTAGTAAAGGGCTTTCGCGATTAATACTCGGGTCGGCGGCTAAGCTCAGGGCGTCTAAAAACCCTTGTTTATACCAAACGCTGGTGATTTTCTTCAACAGCTTGTCTTCGACATCGACGTAGAGCGAGATGTTTTCGTCCGATACCTTGTGATGCTGGATATCTCTTGTGACATTTATTTTAGGGTGGTTTTTAGTCTGAACATAAACATACAACAATCAACTTTAGGCATATATGATACAATAAACGGAATAATTTTTTTTAGATTTAAAATATGACTTTACCGCGTTTGTAAACGTCGATATATTTCCGAAACGGCTGTTAGCGCAACAATACACTTCATTCACAACACACAAAGGGGTGTCTTCGGGTGATGGTAATGCTGGGAATCCTTGAAATATTGACATTCTTGTTATTTAATAGAAAAGATTACAAAATTAACAGAAATTAAAACTGTTATTACAAAGTGCAAGTAAAATGAAGTAAAAAATGACACTGACATGACCAAAGAGCAGACAGAGATCATAGATTTATAGATTAGTTAGATTGATGTCATATCTGTATTGTGACTATTTAAGATAGGGGAGAGCCGATCGATCCCGACCATGATATAGTTGTGACCACTTAAGATAAAAAACACATTTACCGTAGTTTTTATAGAAATTAATTGAAAGTAAACTACTGAAACATATGCCCCAACTGATGGGCAAACATTTCACATCTAAATTACTAATAGAAAAGAGCGACGGCTTAACTTAAAGTAACCGGCGCGAAGCTCAATAAAAATTCTTAGTTTCTTGTAATTTTGTTAACAACAACCTTTTCTAATTATTGATACATATTTGTTTAATTATTAAAATTGTAAGTGCGTTAGTATCAATATATCTAATAGAATAGATGTTCTAGTATCTATTTATGTGGATATAACTTCGGTCATTACTTTGATATACGTGCCAAATACCTATTTGCGCAGAAACGAGAACAGACGAATGAATAAAAAGTTTTAAAACGTTTAATATTGAAGACATCTGTGAATATTTTTGATTTTTACGGAATTCAACTTAAAACGGACTATAACGAGCAAATGCGAAAATAAGAACGTATTTAATCTACCCCGCTAAATCAGAACGTTTTACTGAGATAAAATAAAACCATTTAATCCAATTGTATTTTTTAATAATTTTGTTTGTGCAACAGTACAACTAATTCAATCCGACTATGAGCTCACTACGGCTTTTTTTTATTTACTGCTATTTCTAGTACAAATACAAAAAAAGATAAAAGACAGCCTGAAGACCAAAGGTAGATTGCTCCTGCTATTTGCGATACTGTTATGGCACATCCAGATTCGCATGTGTAACTATTGGCCAAAATGTTAGAGTTCGCGCTCTGTGCCTTAGCTTCGATTAACAAACCGATTGCCTCCAGATACAAACGATCACAAATTCCAGCTTCAAAAAGTCTTTGAACAATTTTCTCAAATTTAACAGAAAATGGACTGTTTTTTCTAACTATCATTTCATGATACATTGTTATAATATTTTCTGCCGGTCTTAGCACTCGCGCCTCGTGGTCTACGGCGGTGGCCGCTTGCAGCGAGTAGAAGTAACCCTCGGGAATGACAGTGAGACCGTTATGGGCCACCGTCTTTTCTTCGCAGTCTTTAAAGTGTGCACAGTTTTCTGATTTCTTAGCAAAAGCAACATACTTCTCGTCTTCCACAAAAAATTTTGTTTCTATTCTTAAAAAAGTCGTTCTACCGGATTCCATAATGTCATCATTAGTTTTGAGCATCGCGGGAGGTTCGCGAATGGTAAAAAATGAATACAGTTGGACACTAATATAAGCCGATAGATGGAGACAGAGTAATAAATAGGAAATGCTTAAAACTCTTTGTTTCAAAGTAGTAGCATCTTGTAATGACGATGTGCCCATCAACGCACCCCAGCCATTCAGAAAGGTGTTTCGACAGGATACAGTGATATGATCAACATTGCAGAATATTATCCAAATGAAACAGTAGCACAAGTAAAATACAATAAAAATGTATAAACCGTTTATTTTAGTGACGAGGTTCTGCCAGGACACGGGTTCTCTGTGGACGGAGTAGACCCAGACCACCGCTTGTCGGTTGTAAATCCCTGAGTAAGAAACCAGGTCCCCGTATATTCTGTAAAGACCCCCGGCGCAAGCATCAAAGGTGCCGTTCAGAAGAAAGGGAATATATTCAAGATTTAGGAAAGGATTTTCTTCTTCGCGTCGAATGTAGTACAAGTGAAGGGAGGCGTTGAAGTAATCAGAAATGATTTTGATAATTTCTAAATCAGAGCCCCGGATCTGGGAGTGGTTAATAGGCTGTAGATTTTGTAGAGTTTCTTTGTCGTCTATTAATGAGTAAGGGTACATTGTTGCCATGCCCACATTAAACGGACACTTTTGTAAATTCCTAAGTTTTTTAGGGGGAAAAATAGTTTTTTCTGTCAACATACCGTTAACACAAGTGTTTATGAGCGTTGCTTTTACTTCATCATCGTAATTGCACGTGTTTCTATCAACTTTTGGAATAGTTGTCAGAAATGTGTATGTTGTGTTATACAAATCTTTTACAATGAAGGTAGCGTCGTGATGTTGAAGCTCATACGCAATCTTATTTAAGTGTTCAAAGGATTCTTCTTCAAGTGTTTCGTTGACAACTACTAAATATTTCATTTCTTGATGAATGGTTTCATTCACAAAAGTTGATATTTTGTGAATGTCAGTAAAAACAAGGATCAATAAATTTTTATACTTGATTATATCATTTGTGTTTTCAGATTCTGTTAAAACAAATTGTAGTACATTTTCTTCAGCAAATATTTTTGCAGTTTCTTCAACATGAGTATCTTCGTAACGATATTCAATATTATTTATGATAGCAATTGTTCGAAACGTATCTCTGTTCGCTATCTCGGCGATGCATCTCGCTAAGGAGGCCGCCGGGTGCATCAGTTTGTCTGCTGCCAATAGCGTGTCCAATGTACTAGATTCTTGTATAACAAGTAAAAACATGAAAGCGTCGAAAATATTTTTTAAAAACATCATTGTCCTCAAAGAATTACCAATAGGTAATGATTTTATTTTTGGTTTTGTTTTAAACGCATGTGCTATAAAGAGCTTTGTTGTAAGAGTTGTTAGAAACGACACTATAGATAAGTTTTATTATTTAGCACTTACATTATATTTCACTGTCTCTGAGAGACGAGATACCATTCCACTTCAGTGAAAAAAATTATCAAACTTTAGGAGGAGTTTAGTCATATAACTGTTATTAAATAATATATAAGCAATAAGTCGAAGTTGTGAAAAAACTAGTTTAGGCATTCTTCACCGAATCCTAACTCTATTTTAAATGAAAAAGTGTTTACTGGATGTTATTTAAGTAAAAGCTTTGCTATGAAAACGTATTCAATAACAAGTAACATAGGAAAGCTTTTATGGTTTTACATTATCGTTATTTGCGTTTGATGTCCCTTTAAATACTTTACTTTTTTGATAGTAGCAAGAATAGGCGATTGTCTTGATTGTGTTTATTTAAAGAAAGATTCAAAGGCACAGGATACTTTTGATTACAAATATTCGTGCTAGGCTCTCACAATCACATATTCTTGTTTCATCATAATTATCGCCAGTCGATACTTACATCATCATCAGCTCACTATACGTCCCCATTGAGAGGCTGGGAGCCTACCTTAAATTAAGGGTGATTAGGCCATAGTCAACCACGCTGGCCCAGTGCGGGTTGGTTGACTTCAAACATATGTATCTATGAATTTGTTCTCAGAACGATACTTACGCTTTAACTTAATTATAAAAGATGTTATAAGACTTGACATGTGTACACTTGCATGGCTTCATATTGTTGTACAATTTCACGGGAATGAAAAACAGTTTTCACAAAGAAAGATAAATTGAAATTAAAAAGACAATTAACGAGAACGGTTACACTCCTGAGATTGGATTATAGACATAATCAAACTGCAGTATTCTGCTAAAATTATTGTATGCGACAGGTTTAATTTAACTTCTTAAATCATTGGCTATGTATCTTGGTAATTATTGTTATTTTTCCGTTACGTCAATGGATACCTGCTACCGATATAGGCAAGTAAATCCTAGTGGCTCAGACGAGGCTTACAACTTACTTTTGTTGGTAGGTGCAGAGCATGCGCCGAGGGCGCTGTGGGCGCTGTGGGCGCTTTGGGCTTTGATGGTGCTGGCGCCGGGTGCGGAAGGCGCGGCCTTAGATTCCTTGTTCGACGTATCCTCAGAAGACGTCATCCACAAGCAGATGGCCATGAACAGAGGCTTTAGTGACAGCGACGGAGTCGTCGAGGTGATTTGTTCTTGAAAACCGCAGCAATACTCTGGTCTACATTGTATTCTACATCGACGCATATTATTTGTGTGTAAATTCATTTCATTTTGACGTCGCACGCTATCTGATGATCGTCACTATATCTGCAATACTGAGGAAGTTACTCTAATAGGGACGTTTCTATAATATTTGTTTGACCACGTCTTAGGTGCTGAGAGAAGAATACAGATATCCTTTGGATGGTACGAGGCGAGGTCTATCGCGGCCGGCCGTGGAGGTGGGCCCCGGCGCGTTCAAGTCGGAGCCGGTACCGCTATCTCCGCACACGCTCAAGAAACAACTCGAACATCTCATCCAACTTCAACAGAAACGAAACAATCAAAATAAAATTTTGGATCCTTAAACATCTCAAATTCATCAATAACTTTCTAAAACCTGCAGTTCGTCTGGTGTTCCGAATTTTTACGTGCGTCGATGATCACCTCGGTGTTGGCGCCGCTCCTTTGTCCCCTTCTCCTAGAAAAAAGACTATCGCGCATTATTATTATCGTATGATTGTACGAGTTAATATCTTCCATTATCAGTGAACAACAAAACAAGGTAGAAATAGAAAAACGGCGAGAGTTGCATTATGTTAATTATGTTAGGTCAATCTCTCCATTTTGACTCCATTGACTTTAGGGAATCAAATACCGGCAAAGCCGGTACCTGGCATAACAAGTCGAATGTAAGCTGTAGGAATACTTTGATTTCGTTTCTCGGTGGTTAGTGTTGTTTTGTTGAAAGTGAGTCTTCTTCTTTATTTGTATAGTCGTACAGAAAAATTCTTCCTGTGTACAATGCAATATCGTCCTTAAGCGCGACAAGGGCTTCTCAGTAAAATCCCAACAACGAGCAATTCACGTTACATATACTTGTTGTTTACACATGCAACTTGAAGAGATACTAGTGTGCAGCTAACAAGTGTCGGTCACACGCAGAGCCGTGCACCTGCTGCAGCTATCGACCATAGAATAATAAGAAAGTAGAAAACCCTTTAGATATCAATGTCATGTTACGTGATGGCAACTAATTTTTTTGCCAACTCTGTGCATGCTTTTCTTTTCGTCGTCGTATACTTACGTCGTCTGTCACATACGCCTTTACCGACATCTTATAGAAAACATGAACGGTAGCGTTTCTCGGTGATAATATTTTGGGATATAAGAATCTTGCAAAAATAATTGAAATTATTATTTACTTGGTGCATTTAATCTTTATTACCCCATGCAGTGCACATATTTAGCGACAAAGTTTCGTGCATATTTTTCAGCAAGTGTGTGAAGCGAGCACACGTGTTGGCCACATTGTTCGAGTCCTCACAAATAATTTGCTCGCTATATAACGGCAGGTCAGGCGCGGCGGCTCGTAGTGCTGCGCTGCGCTGGCGGCGGCTAAATTAAGCCCGACCGTCCGCCGCGCCCGCCCCGCGCTCCTGCTCCTACAGAACTCCCACATATTATATTATATCAACGAATTTTCCGACCGCATCTCAAACGAATTGGCAGTTTTCGAATTTCCCGCTCATACCTAGCGGCTAGCATGGTAAGATTTTGATGGAATACCTATGATGTTAACGAAGATATAAATAAACTAACATGCGCCGGAGGAGTTTTAATTTGTGTAACTCTATACCTAACTAACTGTGGATTGTTTGTTTGCAGTTTGTGAAGTGATCTCACTGATTTGTTTTGTGAACAAGACAAAATGAAGTTCACTGTAGACGTGTTGGGAGTCTTCCTCAAAGTAGTGATAAAGGTAAGCTTTGTTATTAATACGTGAGCCTGGGAGTGGGAGTGGGCATGTCCCGCTGCCCCGCAGTCCGGCTGCGGCGCGCCGCTCCCGAAGGTCTGGGTCGCGGCGGCGTCGCGCTCGGCCAAAGATTGCTTGAATCGCGTTACGTAAATGATTTTGCTTGCGGCCAGCTGTTGCTGTATTAATAACAAAGTAGACTTTGATGTAAATCCTTAACTAAACTAACTCTGCTGTCATCTGGACGCACAAGAGACTTTTATTTTTCTCTAAACATTTTTGTATTGTCCTTTTCTATTATAAGTAACAATACAAAGACATAATTTTGTTCCTTCTAACAAGTGTCAAGCTAATGTTTGTTTGTAATGTCATAAATAATAATACTTACTTAGTCCGGTGGCGCAGCGACACAAAGTGGGTATGGCTTCCGACACAAGACATCGCCAAAGTCGCCTCGCCTCGCCTCGCCTCGCCTCGCCTGCCCCTTAATAACGATAATAAAGTAACATTTAAAATAATATAATTACCTACTGTTATATAATTCATTATATTTAATTGTTAGTCGCGAAATTAATGTTCTAGCTAAGACTGATGTGAGAAATTTTTGAAAATCAAACATTTTAATTGTCAAAACAATTTTGAGACAAAAAATTTACTTCCAAAGCAGTCGGGCGGATTACACGTTTCAGTGTTTAAGACGTAACGAAAAAGGTCAGTGCTTTAAAATAATTAAGGAGAGAATGTACAAGCGTACGATGCAGTTACACTCACAACAGATGTGCGTGTGATGTGAGGAGTGAGGAGGACGCACAGCACATCGTGGGAGAGGCAACCTTCGCGTTCTGCATGGCATGTGGCCACGGTATGATGGCACGTAGCAGTTGCAGTGCATGATACCTACGTGATAATCTGTGTCGGGAAAGAAATCTATCATAAGGGCATCCCTTAGAGTACAAGCAGTACGTAGGCAGTTGAGTGCAGTTGTGGTGCGCAGATCAATCGGGCGACGTTCGCGCCGCTGTTGGTGTCGGCGCTGTTCATAGTGCTGACATCTCTGCTGGCGCATGCGGCACGGTCTGCTGCGCGCCGCCTTGTCAAAGATGCCTTCCTGCGGCTGCTGCTTGAGGAGGCCATCGCTGCCGCAGAGCTCTGCGGTTGTTGCTTCGAACTCATCATTGGTAAGCGACTGTTCCGATCATTTGTTGATTTCAACCAATACAAGTTTCAAGGAAAACGTAAAAACGTAGTCAGGATCCAACGGTACTAGCTGAATAACAATACAGCTGATATATTATAAAATGTACTCATCTACATGTTGATGGCTTCCGGGACACGCGTCGATCCAACAAGCAGTTGACGCTATCATAAGAAGCCGAGATTGTAGTCTGATCAGATCTGACTCATTCACTGCTCATTGAATGTTTGTGAACCAGATCAGTGACATTCATAAAATTTTGTTAAACAAAATTATTTTACCAGGAATAAACATTTTTGGAATTAATTCCAGCAAGTCTAAGAGCTCGTTTTAAAGCATGGAGACCCAGGGCCGCGATATTGCGTTTATTTGTACGCGAGATGTATCGTCACCCAAGAGATTTTTCCGTAGTTAATTTTATAGTGTTAGGTGAATGCAGTGTATATTGTGTGCAGTGGCGGACAACTTCGGTGTGGCGACGTACGCGGTGTTTCTGTTCGTGCTGACGTGCTGGTGGGCACTGAGCTGGGGCGAGGCCACCGCCTGCCCCTACACGCATCTAGAGGACGTCATCGAAGGTACACAAACTCAGAGTACTAGCAGGAGAGCCTTCAAACTCGACGTTCTTGATAAAGGATTTTGTTAAACTCTTTAGCTACTTCAATTTATATTTGTGTGTTGCAGGCAAATGCGACATTCGCGCGGCATTGCTGAAGACGTGGGCGGAACTGGGGGGCGGGTTGCTGGTGTTCAAGTACGTGCAGATGTACTGGGCGCTGGAGATCTCCGACACGCACAAGGATCGCGCCTACCAGGAGTGCACCGCTGACTTGCAGGTCACTGATAAATTAGAAATTACATGAGCTCTGCTTAAAAACAGTAATGACATGACATTGATGAAAAAAATATATTATAAATTGAATACTAGAATGGTGTGAATAAAATCTGAATAGTTTTGTCTAAAGTATCGATGAGTAGTTGTGGATATCTATATTATACCTATATATCACAAAAACTATTATATTAAATAAACAAGCTGCACCAGAATATCAAGATCGGTATTTTGAAATAATCCGATTTTCAAAAATTGGTGCCAAATTATTGTTGTCCTTTCCAGACAAGGCTGCATTTTTATAGGTGCGAGTTCAGAGTCCGTCAGGGCACACTTTATTAAGATATAACACTCATAACATCTAAGTATGTTCTAAAATATATAATTTTGAGGCTGTGGTGGCGTACTGCAGGTGCCGGCGCTGTACGGTGCAGTGGTAGAGGGCGCGGCGACGTGCCTGTGCCGGCTTGCCTCGCGTGCGCTGGCAGACCTCAGCCCTCGCTTCGCCACCGCCATAGACGCCTTCATCGGCACATCACTCGTCGTCGCTGGTAACACAACTATCATTTTTCTAAAACTCCGAACGATTACCTATATAGGGTGTCCCAAAAGGTTACGTACATAGAAAGAAGATAATAGGGGTGGTCACAAGGGTCACCAGAAAAATTAAATAAAAATTGCCCCAGGTGTAAAATTTTTAAGTTTTAAAAAAATGCCATTTATTTTTTTTAATACCCAGAGGGGAATTTTTATTTAATTTTTCTGGTGACCCTTGTGACCACCCCTATCATCCCCCTTCCTATGTACGTAACCTTTTGGGACACCCTGTACACGCTACTTACTTTTTCTTTTAAGTCTTTATTTTATATAACACTACACTTGTAATTTGTAGAAATTAACTATGTTATACAAATGCATATAAAATACTGAATTCAAATTTCAACGCGGCTTCTCCTGCTCTCCTGCTACCTGACATGTCTCCATCTCACTCACGTCGTTCATCTTTTCCCCAGATTCACCAGATCTTCTTAATATTGCTTTATTGCTCACCGATCACTTGAAACAATTTGTTTTTGCATATTATATCACAAACAAAGGGTACTAACTCTAGTAACTAGTAAATCAAATACATGACATTACAACACTATATGTCACTAGCGTGCTCCGCGTGTTGCGCTCGATATTTTGTAGACCAAGAAACAACATTGTGATCATGTACCACATCATGAGTTTGAGTTGTGTGGTGTTGGATTCGAGTGGTGAGCGCCCGGGCGTGTTGCAGGCGTGGTGGCTCGGGACGCGGTGCTCGTGTACCGCTACGAAGACACCGCGCCCGACGCCGACCTCACCATCTCCCTCCTTTGCAAAGTTCATTTAGGAAAAGGTACATCGATGTGGTGTTCACCGAATGTAACGCTAATCATATCTGTCACACGTGCAACGACATCGCATGCTCTTGTATTTTCTACCACGTCCATATCATTGCGTAGTAATCATCAGTCAATAACCAATGTCTTCGGTAGCGCTTTTAATTGTGTCCACATTGATAAGACGCGATAGTCGTATTGAACGAGCAGATGCTAAAGGGTACTGATAATCTAATCGAGGCATCTTGCCATTAGGTCTCTGATAAAATGTAAACATGGGATTTGTTGTTTGTTGTCGACAGCGTTTGACTACTCGGGGGGTTATTTCAATCCTGTGTTGGCAACGTCGCTGAAGGCGGGATGCGCGGGGCACTCGCTGGCGGAGCACGCGGCGGTGTACTGGGCGGGCGCGGGCGCGGGCGCGGTGCTGGCGCTCTACCTGTACCGAGTACCGGGTGTGCAGCGACTGCTGCGCGGCGCCGGCACAGCCACAGCTAACGGAGACTCCTTCTGGCCGGACAAAGAGGACTAACACGCGCGCAAACTATCCTTAATCAAAGCTAGTCAAATTGTTACGGTTGCAAGGTTTATTGTATTTATAACTATTTATTTTATAAACAACAAGTTCGGAAACCGTTATTTTTGATTTAGGAATTTGCAACGTTCATATTTTAGAACGACGTAAGAATTTCTACCCCATACTGTTTGTACGATTATTTTGTAATAAACTCTAAAAAATTAAGCTAACAAGGAGATTGTTAAAGATAAGAGAAAGTTTTACTCTCAATGGTATGAGTAAGCGATGTTAACATGTCGTGGTATCAATGTACAGATGTCAAATGATAATATAAATGAGGTGCTGTATAGTATACCTATTAGTTGCTAGTTTTATTTTGCTAATACGAGTGTGGAGTGACTGTGAGAGCGCGGAGAATGTGTGGAGTTTGTGTTGGCGGCGCGGCGGCCATCTGATCTATTACTTTGTTGCCGGCGTTTAATTAGTATTTAGCATAAAACCTTATGACCTACATATTTGTTACATTACATGATAATATTTCCTGCTGTTCAAAAATTTTAAGTTTGTGATCTGTAAGTTACAAATCTAGTATTTCAAAATATTATTATTGATAAAAATGTACAAGCTCAGAATATAGGTGTCTGTTAGTTTTCGTACAAATAGAAAAATCAAAATTTAAATAGAGGTAGGAAGCGGGGTGGTGGGGCAGCGAGGGAGCGGGGTGGTGGGGCAGCGCGCAGCGGAGCAGAGTTTTGTTGAGGGACGCCTAAGAATTTGGTTAATTAAAAAGTCTTGTCAAGTTTATGTGGACCTGTTACTGTAGAATTGAGGAACTAATGAAAAAAGACGACGTGTAACACTGTGACACTTCCATTTAAAAAGTTTTTATTACAGTTGATTATACGTAGGTAAGATAAGCAATAAACTTGGCATTTTCATGAAAGGCGTGTAGCTATGTCTGATTTAATTATGTTTGTAAGATAAGATAAATCATAGCAGCAGTGCGGTGATGCGTGAATTTCAGCTCTCAGGTGTAAGCTGTTTCGCTCCGAGTTACATACACAATGCGCACCTCTCCTGTCTGGATATTTGCAATGTTGTGTGAGTACTAGATAAAATGTATATTGAGTTGTCATAGATAAATTATGAAATCACAGTGACAAATGTTCCTTTGCGAGCTCGCGTTAAAGTAAGTGATCACGTCGGCTTCTAATTTTTCCAGTGCAATTGCAAACGGAAGGAATAAAGGGCGCAGTTCCCATAGAGGTCGTTGCCCAGAAAGTGGTGCCGCTGAAGTGGGCGCGGGCGCCAGCGATAATACCCATGATCCCTGACAAGGAGCCCATCATACCGCCCAGCAGGCGCGCTGGAAACGCGGACACGGCGGTGGTGCTTGAAAGAGGTGTGGGAACCAAACAACATTACTCAGACTGGACGGGACACCGACAAGAATTGCGATCACGAAGGTTTCCCGTGGAAGCTGTCCGCGTGTTACCGTGAGACTGGGCGCTTTCTCTCATAAAAATCCTGCCCTTGTACACTGTGCGAGAAGATAACGTTCTGTTGTATTTTGTTATTTTAAAATTAAAGCAATGAAAAGCTAACTCTAGGTTTCCCTCATTCTGGTGCCCAGATTTAAAAATTAGCCTTGGCATGGGCAGACATTGAAGCGTCCCCATTCCAACAAAAACCATTGCAGCAGAGAGGAGGGGAGGGTGCGGGGGCGCGGGGGAGCGCAGGCAATCGGCTCGGTTAATTGAAAATTTGATACAACCACGGTGTTTTTAATTTAGCCGAAGTAATCAAAACTTGTGAGTGCAGAGTACGAGTATAGTGAGCAGGCGGCAGACAGATTGGTCGCGGCTTTATCTAATATCAAACATGACACGTCATTGCAAATACTTTTAGCAAAGTAAAGTATTACATACTCGTACATACATACAAGTCCAAATTTAAATGTGTCAATTATAGATCTGGATAGTAATAAGAATCTTATCATAAATTCTGACTGCGTATTTATATAAAAGCCTTTATATAAAATCCTTGTTGAGCGTTTCATGCAGGTACGTGACGAGCATCACAATATCAAGATTATATATATATATATATATATATATATATATATATATATATATATATATATATATATATATATATATATATATATATATATATATATATAATCTTATACCTATACTTGACAATATGTAATATTTAAAGTAAGTTCAACAGCACGTTGTCAGCTGCACTATGATCACAGACGAATGTGAACAAGTTGGTACAGTTATTTATTTTCCTCACTATTTTGTAGCTCAGTAATAACATAAGCAAATAAGTTCAAACTTAGAAGTACAATTGCTTGTTAACGTTTCCAGGCAGTTTGTAAAAGCTCCTTCCTTCCTCGTTAAATCGAGTAACAGATCAAAATTTATTATACAGGATTACCTTATTCCGACCGCCAATCGCAATTATTTTAATGCCCAAAATAATCAGTTTAATTTAGAATGGGGCAGTTTGTGTCTTCATTATATATGAAACTATAATAGAAATGGAGCAGTACTTAAATACTTGGTAATATTAAAGTTGTTGCTGACAATAAGCTCATGTTATTTCTACAGCAAGACAACAGTATCTAACAAACTTCACTACGTGCAGTACTTGCTTAGTTGTTCAAGTTGTATTAAGTTGCAATTATTGAACGCTAGCGGACGGAGGCGAATTCGATACAAATAAAAAAGCCGCGTTTTTGACTATTTATTTAATTAAACATTAATTTTATTTTGCTATGAAACTTTGTTCTCATTTAATAAAAAAAGTTAATTTTATTTATTATTCATATTGATATTCTAATCAGCCTAACCATATTGTTGTTCAATTATGTCAGTCTTCGAGGCCGCAATTAATTTTTATATACAATTTCTACAAGTTTCAGCACTTAGCCGATTGCGCTGCAGGATTATTCTGATGCAACTGCACATAAAGCTCTGTACTGGTAACTATTGTTTCCTGAATCATTATTCCAGATTAATAGAAAAATGTTTTTCTATCCTCCACTAATGCAGTCTATATAAATTAAATACAGCAATAGAGATTGGCGTCAGTGGCAGCAGTAGCGGTCGCGGAGATGAGCAGCGCGGCAGTGCAGCAATGCTGACGCAGGATTGATTATTTCCGCTCACCCTTGATGACGTCACAACATGTGTATAATCCTGATTTCATCTATTAATTACTCTTTCTTACAAACAACAACCTTATTTCGTTCTCTCCACCTTCTAGTTCCAGCGACTTGTTACCTGCCTACAATTGCCAGATTCTAAGTTTATTTTCATAACATTTTATACGTTTTCAGTTTTAATTGCCTTGAAAACAATTAAATTTAATTGAAAATAACAAAGCGATATTTTTTTGAAATCTAATTGCTTTGGAATTTTTATGTTATTCTCATGGAATTGAGTTTGTAATTTATTAACAGGGAAGTTAATTTAATTGAAATATTTACGACAGGCCGAGGCGGGGAAGCGCGCACACACTTTCGTTGACAATATCACTGTTCTATTGAATTTGCTCCCACTCTTTTTGTTAATTCATTTGTAATTGGAATACGGCGAGTCGTCGTCTTTGCTTCGTCATAGATTTAAAATAACAAATAACGACTTATCACTTATTTATAATCAAATAAAGAAAAAAACTCTAAATTGGTTTAGTATCAGCGTTGTATGACAATGTGATTAAATTATGGAAAACTATACAATTACTGTTACTGTTACCAATACTTGTTATACAAATATAAATGAACGCAACGATAATATTATATTAGATTAGATCGATTTGATCAAAAGTTCGTTTCACAAAATAATTTATTATTTACATACAAACAGCGGCAGCCTTTCAGGTGAACTCGGCATTACACGGCGCATGAACTGTACACTTTGGTAAACACAACGATACAAACCAATCCTATTTTAAAAAATGAACACAAACAGAATGGCAGATAGTTTGACGAGTAGTATTTGTGTAGCGCTGTTTGCGCGCCTCCATATCCACATCTATAAATGTTTTATCTGTGTTTGATTTAATAAAAACTAACTAATATATTAGAATTGATTTATAAACCTATAGAATTATTACATACAGATAGGTGACATATTGAAGATGTAGACGGATGTAAGAATTTGTATGTATAACCTTATGAGCGCAGATTTTTATGATGATTGAATGCAATTGATTGCTGTTACGTCACAGAACATTAAAATGAGATAACGAGCTACATTTTTATTAATTTATATTATAAAAGAAAAGTAAAATATACAAACGTATCAACAAAAACACTTTCAAAAATATTTTGTTTTAACATCTAAGCCTGAAGGTATTTGCAACAGCCGACTATTTCTAAAGCAGATCTATCAAAAGATATATCAAAAGCAACCAGAAACTATTGACTGCACAGTTATATAGTTACACAAATAATCGGCTTATAGATATATTATAATAAAAGTACTAAATAATTGATGATGTTAGGAAGATAACAAATGTAATCTAGATCTATATAAAATAATTTTATTTATACGCGTAACTAAAATGATAATGTTCAATATGCATTAGATACCTGTCATTACCTACCTACATATCGCAACTACCCACATACCGCAACTACCCACATACGTGCAACGGCATAACCGGTGGATTGTTCCACAAAAACAATAGAAAACAATCTCTCAGAGATCGTAACAGACTCGCTGCACACCTGTTCTGTAAAAATCAAATGTCGAGAAATTGAAGTCAAGCCTACGCTGAAGTCTACGACAAGCGCTACGCCCTGCTCTACGCTGGCACGTGTATACTCGTAGCGTGACGTGACTAATTGGATAATAGTAATAAGAAATAATAATGTCAAGAGTTTGCATTATAAAATTTAAACTAAGTTCAGTTTGTTTGTTTGTTAAATTACGAGAGTACTAATAATCAGAGAAATCTTCATTATTTTCAAGGCAACATTTCAAGATGTCTCGGTGTCGATCTATCTTTAATTATTACACAAAATATAATGAAAACGTAAGTCAAATAAAACAGCAATAAAAAAAACATCGAACGCTATATTTCTTAGTCTAGAAACAACATTTAAAATCACCTAAATTACTGCTTAGGGTAAAAGGAACATGTTTAGACCAGGGCGCCGCTAAAACATATCCACAAAAACAAAACAATATTAAATGCTGTCTGTACAGTTCTCTATTTGTTATCTGTTCTGTGAGCACATGGTATTTAAACTAATCTCACTTTTACTATAAAAACAATATAAATTGATTTATGTATAAAAGCAAGATTAGTCTCACATGAAAAGATAATATTGTAATAAAAACCAAACTATGATATGTACAGTTTCTTATAAAATAAAAGTTTAGGAATTTCAAAGACAAAATGAACCAGAAGAAAAACTAATGCAACGTGTGATCGCGTACATTTTACCTTTATTCATTTCGGTGGGTTTAATAGATTTAGTATTTAGTATTGCAGGCAATCATTTTGACAATAATCAATATATGTATATTATGGAAACATACTCGTAATTGCTTGATATATATAATACAACTCATATAATATTTAAATAAACATTAAAGTAGTTTTTACTCCAGCAGTAAAAGTTTTGAGACATTTGCATTAGTTTTGTTGAACATAACTAAATAATAATTGTTTTAAATATATAAATACAACAATGACGTTACACGACTACATAATTAAAGCTAACATTGAATTTAAAGCTTGATATCGACTTGTTCGATACAAAATCAAAAGTTAAATAAATAATATAAATATTAAATATTCATTTGTAAAATTTAATTTACTCACTACACAATTAGAACCATAACGTTGTCTTTACGACGGATTGTTAGCGTTTTATGGTGGGTTTCCACTGCCGCAAGACATGTACAAAAACATTGCTGTCATTACTTTATTATATTTGTTAATGACAATGTGATTTGTCAGTGGTGTCAAAAAATGTACACATATAATAAGTAGGAATCAATTCGTAAAAGAAACATAATACACTTTAGGTCGATGTGTTAGACTTATTTGTATACACGTTTTCATATTACAAACATTAATGTTGTTCACTAGTTACATTATAACATGTCACAATTAGATAACTGATGAGTGCAGCGAGCTGACGGCGCGCTATTCACATTCTATGTCTTCTGAAGCTCGACTTGTTGTTGACTTTGCAGTTTAGGGGATTCTGTCCATTTTATACAAAATTCCAGTACAGCGAGGAGATATGGACTGGATACATTACTTTGTACAATCATCAAAAGAACGATTGCCCAAATAACATTTTTATATCTAAAGAAGTTTTTTTTTGTTATAAAATGTACAATAAAGTGACACACAGTTAAACAGCGAGCTAGCAAACAATGCAAGCGACACCGAGCGTTAAGAAACGTACAAAACTACAGCAACAGCACGTGGACGTGGCTGTCCGCCAGTGGACCTCCTTTGTTATAATAAATATGTATGTATGTGTGTAGTATTGTCCCTCGTTGTGCATACACTTACATATAATACGATACATTACGTATTGCTATCACAACTGCTTCCTCTCCAAACCCCCGCCCTCTTATTTACAAAACTAACTTGGTCCTACCAAAACAAATGTGACGAAATTTGCAATTTTAAACATTTCACAGTACACATATAATATACACATATTGTATCCTCGCAACGCGACTTCAATAGAAAATATTACTTATTGTATATGAAAACACATATATTTGTACGCAATATAAATTGTCTTTACAATTAAGTATACACTGTAAATACCATCTTAACATCTAGAAACCGTCCGCGTGGCTCGCTGCGTGTACGAGCCTTTCTCTCTCTAAATTTAAGTGTATCACAGGCTCGCGCGCGCCCCTGACCACGCTGCAATACTCCTTGTCGACGACATGTCCCTGCCGTGTCCTAGTCGCGCTAGTCAAACGAACTTTGTTCCACTTTCAATTACACTATAGCGGCCAAATGCTTCAAATAAATTAACTAATTAACTAATAAAGTTTTCAGATATTTGAAACATCATCATCACCAAATTTGAGCTTTTGAGTCGATTAATGTACTATAAAGTGTCACTTTAGTACTCATTTAACCATCGACAGTTCGGGGAGACATCTCCGCAGGACATGGAAAGTGTTGTGCAAGACGCGGCGTGTGTAAACTACAGGTCGTGCGGCCACCGCGGGGGGTGGCCGGCCGCGGATCACATGACGCAGCAACTGCGCGCGCGTCCCTTCAGCTCGGCCTTCAGATCGCGCTTGCTCTTGCTGCGACCCACTTGCTTCTGCACACATAATAATAATCACAGATTACCATCGCATCAAGTAAATTTATTGCTTACTAAACATTACGGCTGAAGGTGTTCCGAACGTGTGTGTGTATGTACCTGCTGCTTGTTGAGCTTGCCGAGTGCGGCGAGCGCCGCTACCTCGAACGCGTCGCGCACACCCTTGCCAGACGCGCGTGCTGACGTTTCCACGTATGTCGTTGCGCCCAACTGCCGCGCCACCGACAGCGCCTGTCACATTTTATCATTAAAATATCTATTACACCAACAAATTGTTCATTTGCAAAAAATCATATCAACCATTTTTGTGCAATTTCAATTAAATTTGCTGTGTATAGAGGGCACCCTTTCGCTGGCTGGAGGCAAGTGAAGGCTTACCTCCTCGCTGGTGACGGGGCGCGTGCGCAGCTTGGAGAGCACGGTGAGGGTCTCCTTGTCGTGGCGCAGGTCCGCCTTGCAGCCACACAACAACACCGGGGCACCCCCTGCGCCCGCCGCGCCTCCCGCACCCGGCGGACCACCGTGCGTTCGCACCTCGCGATACCACTGAGGATAAAAGTAAGTACCTACATGTAGAAATGATGTCGAAGTTATATGATTGTACTATTGAGATTTATGGTATTTTTTTAAATTAGTGGAAATAGTAAGTAAAGTGCAAGCGCATAGTTTGCGTGTGCCGTACCTTGGCAGCGGCGTTGTGCAGGGAGTCGGGCTCTGCTATGTTGAAGCAAAGCATGAACACTTTGGCGTCTTGGTACGCCAGAGGGCGCACTGTGTCGTACGCCGTTGTTCCTGTGTGCAGGGAAATCACTTACACATTAGAATATGGGCTACTTTGCTGCTATTATGAGGCCCCTAAGAATCTACAATATGCCTTGAAAATAAGAAAAACATCTTGTAATAGCAATTATAACAGCAGAGACGCGGCATCATTACAAAAGTAAAAACGTCCGCTTTGTACACTATAAATAGTGGTGGGAGCAAGTTCCGCGACCGCAGACTGCGGCCGGTGCAGCTTCAGCCGGTGTAGAGTTGCCGCCGTGTTATATTTCAATATCTTGTACTACTTTTATTAATTACACGCAAAATAGATGCAAATCATCTTCTGAGTGGTCATCACTCAGAACATTCGGGCTGGATTATTACAACTTTACATATTTCTTCCAAAAACTCAACTTGAATATGTTAAGATTGTTGGCGAGGGCGTTGGTGGTTACCTGAGGTGTCCCACACAGAAAAGTTGACCCTGCAGTCGGCTACTGTGCACGTGTACGCGTACTTCTCGAAGCCTGTCGGCGTGTACGCCTGGAACAATAAGCCAACAAATACTTCATTTATACTGCTTTGTATGTTATTATACAATTAAAGAAACAAGCAACATTACTCGCTCACAGTATTTAACTGGAAACGCTGCAATTTCGGTGTCAGATGTATCTAAGATTTTGTAGGTTGGTAGACTCAGCCCACTCGCACTAGGAACTACCTGAATGGAGGGGCGCGGCGCGGCGCGGCGGGGCGGCCCCGGCCTGGCTCACCGGCAACAATAGCGAAGTATTAGCAAACTGCTCTGTTATTGCGTATTATCGTTACTGTTAATAAATCAACTGTAAACTGCGGCGCAATCTAAACGCTGAAGCGGAAACGGTTTATTTTTCAATGTTTCCGAGTTTTAAAATTTAATTAGACAGTTTCACGTTTCCGGAGCTGAATATAAATATATTCTAAGAATTGTCGGGACGTAATGCTACTTTTAATATAACATTTCATTTTAATTCAAAGCGAAAAAGCGAGTATTAAATTCCCAGAATTTTGTGCAAATTAATGTAATTAATAAGACTTCAGAATAATCATAATGTTCTCAATTGCAGTTCAATTAAGTTGAACTTGAAGTGTTATTTATTAATTTAATAATAATTTCATTGCGTACCAAATGAAATTAGACATTTATTTATTAGTCATAATATTTGTGTTAAATTACTCCAATGATGAAATAAACTAGGGATTTAATTTGTGACCTAGGTCATTAACCGCATGACCTGTAGGCCTTCGCCCGTGCCTTGGCCCGTGTGAGAAGGCTGTAAGTGCATTGCCCTGTAGTCGTCTGTAGCCCGTAGCCTGCCATCTAGCGGCTTCTTGTTACATTCACAAGATGTATGCCCTCACTGATCTTACTAAAAACTTTTTTCCCAATGACATTTCAAGTGACTCGCACAAACTATTGCATTAATATTGTGTCATAAAGAACAAGTGCATACGTAAAAACCACCATTATTTAAGGGTTCCAATTAATAATCTTTATATTTTTTCTAAAACAGCTTTGCTTCAGTTTCCAACAAATAGATAAAAAGTTGTGCTTAAAATACTACAACGACATGAAAAATAAAACAAGCTTTTTTTCAAGCACATGCAGAAAGTTTGCAATTTACAACAAAATGTACAACAAAGTGTAAACACAACAAAGTTTGAACACAAAGGAAATGGAGACAAAAATTGAGCGCAGAGTGAAAGAAGCGACGCTAACATGAGCCGAACAATCTGATCTGAAACAATGTCGACTCAACGCTCCGTCTCACTTCATATTTTTTACCCTGCCCGTGAGCCTGAATTTAATTAAAATAATAAATTAAAAACTTGCAGACATCGTGTCCCAGTTAATTTTGAGATCCATGTACACGACGCTGTCGTCACGCGCTAACATAGAAACTTAACTGAGCTGTAAGCGGAATGCGCTCAACTTTGGTTACATGTAAGCAGGTTAAGTGATGTAAACGCTCGCTACCAATGTTTGACGTAAACTACATTTTGGCGCATCAACGGACGAGTGTGCATCATGATGGCGGGAAAAGAGATGATGATGTGCGTTTTAAAGTATTCATGTGGTGCTTTAGTGCAGATATTTGGCTATATTACGCTTTCCTATTTTTTATTATTTTCTTTCTATTTTTTTTTCAAGAACATTTTTCTTTTCATATACATCTACATATATAATATATATAACGGTCATCGATTGGGAATACTTTACAACTTATTGGACGATCATCTAAATGTAATGCTGTGTATTTACGACTTACGTTACAGATGTGCACCAAAACAAGCGAGAGAGTTAATAATAATGGTCGCGACCACACGTGGCGGACGCGACGTGGGTCTTCCGCCACCGTATTCTGTCGAATTCGCCACACGGCGCGCTCGTTATACTTTGGTATGAAATTAAAATAAAGATGATTTACATTGCGCTAGAATAAGTACCTACGATGTCCTCTTTCAACACGCTGTTTGTAAGGTAAATGTGTGTGAGTCGACTGTAACATTTATTTTGGCGCCTTGGCGTATAAGTGGTAGTAGTGGCTGACCTCGAGGAAGGTCTCGGAGACGAGACGCTGCACGAGCGCGGTCTTGCCGCACTGCGAATCGCCCACGAGCACCAGCTTGACCTCTTCATGCGCGGGGGGCGTGCCGACGTCGCCGCCCTCGCTGCCCTTCTTGCCGGACCACATCGCGGCCTACGCTCTACGCCCGGCACCCTGATGCAGCTCTCTTCTGATCTGTGGACAAGTTGTACAATTTTAATAGACTGGCAGGAAGGCATATTTACAGTTTTTGATAACTAGTAGAGAATAACTTTTGCTTTTTAGTAAAGAATAAAATTCTCGATGGAAGTGATTGGCAGCATTAGCAAGATCAGTCGGTAATGAACAATTTTATACAAGTCCGGAATAAAATACTCTTAGTAAGTCTTAAAGGTTTTATTTTTCAATAAATCTGCAGGTTTCGGCTGGTTCTTTTAGTACTGATGTTTTCATTAAGTTCTCGAATTCACTTCGTCGCTGCCTCCTCCTTCACCTCCATCCAATATTAAAGTAAAAGGAATTCAATTTATTTTAAAAATTTCTTCCCTGTAAAATGAGTGTACTGCTATTACGAGACTCTTTAGGTTTTATTTCAAGTTCTGTCGTGATTTCTTTAAAAGCTCTTGAAATGTATATAACGTCCACATCGCAGCGGCTTGCACTTACACCGTCACTGAAATAGTTGCCATAAAAAGCTTCACTTTCTTAACGTAATAAACCCAGCCAAAGTATTATAAAATTAAATATGCAATACTTAACTATTGTTTGTCTGCAGTTTGTTTATTATGAATTATAGTCGCAACATAAATTGCTTTACTTTAAGTATGTTTGTGTGATTTTCTATATTAAAATTCCTATTACATATATTTTTAATCAACCCTAACATAATAATGGTTATAATTACAATTTGAACAATAAATATCGCTTTAAAAATTAAACGGCTTTCAAAAATGTTCAGAGTTGATGACGATTAAAATTTAATCGCGTACAATGAGTGCGGTGATGCATACAGTTGAGGTTGGGGGGGGGGAGGTGGGTGTTAGGGGAATTTGATAGGTTTACTTCAATATGATTGCAACGCTGAGTGCTGCTGCAGAATGGACTCGCAATTGTTTACGAGCGACAGCAGCGCCGCACAAACTGTCGCACAACGAACTAACACGCAGCCAGCCTGCCGGCTTCTTATTGAATGGAATTGGGACACGCGCTGTTCCAATCCCTATTTAAAATACATAAATGTCGTGTCATCGACACTTTGTGAGAACTTTTCACTCGCGTAACACAATGACAATTCATCAAACATTCAATGAGCTTGAAAATTAGTATATTTTTATTATTATCAGTTCAGGGAGAGCTTCAGATTTAGTAATACTTTAGGGCTTCTTTGAAGAAATCAAAATACGAAATTATAATCTAGGAATATAACTATATATTATTATTAATTTAAAATTGTAATGGCGTTTTCATCGTCCAGATTCAAGAGATATTGTGTTAATACAGAGTAAGTAAATATTATAATTAAATTTTACGATTGAATTAAATCATATTTATAGTCTAAATGATATGTAGTCTGTGCGATGGTGCGGCTGGCTGGTGGATCGCACGCCGCGACAGTTGGCGACGTTTAAAACAACGTGTGACAGCCCGCTGACGTCCGCAGCGCTCCGCTCCGCACACTTACAATCACAAATAACAAAACCAACAAAACTTTACATCTCACGATGGACTTGAGCGAGGACGCTATCAAGGCGGAGGTGAGCAATTTCGTGTCCAGCCTGCAGCGGCTGCTGCCCAAGAAGAAAGACATTATCGTCCTCGAGCCCGCGAAGACGAACCAGACGCGACTGAGCGAGGTGCACGCCGAGGCCAAGAGCGTCTTCCCCAAGTGCTTCGTCGGCGCCCGGTTGGTCGTGCTGCGGCAGGTACTCGATAAAGTGAAGCTGCTGCAGGAGTACAACTACGGCAAGACGCGGGAGACGTACCAGAGCTACAAGCGATACCTCAACAAGGAGTCGGAGCCCAAGTTCGTCGGGGACGGGCTGGTGGTGGATGCGAGTGGATCCGCCACCGCCACATACACGGAGCGCATGGACGGGGCATGTACGCTCCGCCTCACCTCCAGGATCCGCGACTTGGTGGCATCCGAGACCGAGGTGGAGCTGGAACGTGAGGGCGAGCGCTCGGTCGCCTCCTTCACTTTCAAGATGAACGACATGGAACCGAACACACTGCGCACGGTGACGCAGTGGATGTACCAACTGCGGCCCGAGCTCAGCGTGGGCACAGAGCTCAGCTTTAAGCCGCTCGCGTGCCCCGCACTGCCGGAGCTGTCACTGAGTGCGCGCTATCGCGGACCCTCCTACTGTGTGTCCTCAACGGTCACCAAACTGGGGTTCCAGGTGTGCCTGTTCAAGAGACTGGCGGCAGACCTGCGGCTCGCGGGCGTGGTGAGTGAGGGCCGAGCGGGCGCGCCGCTCACGGCCGCGCTGGCGCTGCACAAGGCGTACGAGGGGTGCGAGCTGAAGATCTTCGTGGACAGCCAGCGCTGCGGCGGGTTCACGGTGCAGAAGGAGGTGTATGTGCGTGACGCGCAGGAGGAGGAGCGCGTGCTTCGGCTGGTGGGCAGCGCGCTGCTCGACGGCCAGCGCCGGCTGCGGCTCGGCTTCGGATTCAACTTGAACTTTTAAATTTTTTGCGACGTCCAATTTTAAATGGAAATTTTAGTCATCGGATATAGGACGGCGTAGGATGTAAAGTTTTTGTAGCTTTATTTTTTGTAAATAAGTATACATAATTTAGTTATGGTTTTATGGTAATCATTTGTCCTGTTTTATATGTTCATTAAATTTAGATAACTTTGTCAATTTTAATTTAACGATCGTGTTTATATTTTTTTATTTCCATTACAATGAAATTTTCAAAGATGTAAGCTATTGGCAATCATTATAGCTAAACGTTTTCTTTAATCCTGTACCTACTTGTGAAGGGTGTAAGGCGATCGCCGCGCCGGAAACGGACACGCTTATCTAATGAAATAGTTCCTTGTTAATTTTATCTGAAAAAATATTAAAGTGTCTAAAAAGTGCGATCACTTTGTATTCGCCCGGCGTTCGCGTTTATATGAGTGTAGCGGTTGCGGCGGGGTGGCGGGGTGGCGGGGGAGAGTAGTGAACTTTTCGTACAGATCAGGAGCTACTGCGGACAGATTAGGGCTGCTATACGTAGCCGATCATTCAGGGGCACTCAGGGTATGCATTATGTTACTTTGCGTCTCGCATAGGTAAATACTTAAAAATGTGTTAGTGGGTCCGTGATGAAGTTGGGAAAACAAGTCGAAACGAGTCCAATGAAGTGGCGACAGGTCACAGAGTAATTAACACACGTGTGCCATGAGGACTCTGCTAATCTTACCCAAATAAACACGATCCCGCTTATTGTAAAGGATTTCTAACACAATTTGCGAAAGGTTGTACTCGCAAAATGGCCCCGACTCCCATAAACATGGACCGTTCCTATAATACGCTGTCGCAATTTAAATTCAAATTGACGTAAAGAGGATTTTTATGGTAATTTCAATTTTCATGTGTTTGCCTGTAGCAGTTTATAGCTCTGACCCTTGACTCGGGTTATGTTGAAGGAAACGTGAAGCGGAGACCATTGCAAAATAAAACATCACAAATTCCCTCTTGTACACTTTAAAAAACACCCTTTTAAGTACAATTTTATGAAAACAAAATCTTTACATAAAATTCTTATTAGATATTGAGAACTGAGGTAATTAACTTTTTCCCAGATTTTGTCGATTGCATGAAATGTAAATATTTTTTTGTTTATTTATGCGTAATAATTTTAAAGCAACTAAAGTGAACAACAAAGTCATCTCTAAGGTTTAACCTTTTCGTTATTTCTATTGAATTTAATATTCCAATCTGCAAAGAACACTATATTATCTTAGAACTAAAATTTATTCTGTCCCTAAAGATATATAAAAGGACGCTCGCTGAATTTATTTAAAAATTCTATCTCACGGACAAATTGGTGCGGCTTTGTCGCGGACTCGTCTGCAAATTATATTATAAAGTTATTCAATAGATGTCGCTGACTTACTTAAGAATACTTTTAAACGTTTTAAAAGCTTTCTTAAAGATACAATTGTATGTACATAGTTCTGTTCATGTTGAATAATGTTGTAAGACTTTAGCCGAATATTTTTTATGTTGAATATAGCGCATGGCGAGGAACGACGGCAAAATGTTACAACAGGATGAACAGAGTTATAAAAAAACAATTCAACGTAATTAGGAGATTTCATTATAATTTATTGAAGAAAAAAAGGTTATTTTATGGACGGCATCTAGTCAAAGTTTATTGAAAAACTGGAGTCAACTTTCACTAAGCTTTTTCAGCTTGTTTCTCATAATAAAACAAGTAACACTTCGTTTGTTTCTCATAAAATTAAGTTAAAAAATATATCATCTGTAAAAGATGTCGAGTGTTAAGATCAATGTTAAAGTTAACTCGGCTGCATCGTTAGCTAATGCGCCTTCATTTTGTGTTGGTGCAAGTTTAGTCGGAGGAAGTGGTCCATCTTGTTGGCGGCGAGTGCACAGATTATGTTGTGATCGGATAAGCACAGAGCACCGAACACGAGAGCCGTGGGACAAAAAGCGAGCGGTGAGTGTACGCTGCGCTGGATTCTGCGCTGGACGCTAATGTTCACTGAACTGGAAACCTATGATATCATCGAGGCTGTCAGATGTTCCACAGTACTTTGAAGGACTTAACATCGAGTGCATTGATGTTCACTTCGCTGTGAAGATAAGATTAAAGATCAATTGATAGAGAGAGTGTTATTATACTAAAATTACTTTATTTATGAGACGATTTTAAAAGAGCATTAATTAAAGCACTGATACTTATCATAAATGTATATAGTAAAGAGGCTGCTGTTAGGAAACAATAAACTTGTGTGTATATTGAGAATTGTTGAGTTTTCAAGTATTGCCTAAGAAGATAATAAATATTGTCAGTTTTTGTTATTATTATAATATTAATAGAAAACATTTATTTTCGGTACTCTCTTTTCTATCGCTTTGAATATTCAAAAGCTATCTGACTATATAACATACACATGACATACTATATATGTATGTACATACGGAGGCACATTAAAGTTGTACATATTGTTTGTGTACGATGGTCAGACCGGATGTCTGCTGATGCGACTGCTACATACATACATACATGATTTATTATTATGTAAAGAGGACGCGCTCAATGTTTCTCATATTTAAAAAAAAAAACATTTAAAAAAGGATTTTTGGGAATTAATATGTACCTTAAAAGTATTTTAATAGGATTAAAAGATCATTCGGTTTGTTATTTTAATAAAGAACAAAAGTCTCGGTGGCTATTGAATTTCCTTGAAGAATTCGGTAAAAGATATTCAATGGGCGGGGTGGATGTTGAGGCACTTTGTAAGTATCTGAAACTTGGCCCCGCTCAGCTCTGTCTCTCAATGTTTACTTAACTTTGTTAGCGAGAGCTTCATTTAATGGCTGTTCAATAACAAAGCTTGAATTAGGATAAAGTTAGCAACACTCATCATACACAATACATCTCAATACTCTTATGATAATTAACTGTGTGTAGAGCAAACATTTCAGTTCAAACAATTATTACACTAACATAAGTGTAATTTAATGTCTTCACTGTGTGTCATTTATTTGAGTATTTAGAGTTTTAATTTAACTCAGCTATGACTATAAAGTACATTTAAAGCGGCAACTTTTGCAGCAGTCGTCGTTTCATTTATTGTGTGGCGCATTACTCGTGCATACACTCGCTACAACTTTTCCGTTTGCCCACTAATTTATTGTCGCGGCGTTTCAACTGAAACTATGTAATGTTTCAGTATAGATTAATGTTGTTAATTGTTCTTTATTTAATAAATTGTTACGACAGTTGCTATGTTTTCAGCCATTCATTTAAAAACTTTGCAAAATTATGTAAAAATCAATCGTCGCTAAATTATCGTATTAGTTCAGTTGGTTTTAGTTTTACTCTTATATTTAGTTTATTATACATGTAGTAGGTTATAAAGTCCCCAGAAGGTAAATACGAAACTTCTTGTATGTATTCAGAAGACCCTTTTTTATCATTTCCATTTGAAGTGTTTCGAAAGGTTTTCCCCATTATCGGTGACATTTGATCGCGGAAAATATTATTTGAAGTGTTTCCGAAAGAGACGCGGAGATATTCAATGTATTTATAGCTTACAAGGTAATAGAAGAATTTGTTTTTTGTATAAACTGTTACAATGTCTGTGTGTGGATCAATTGTAGAGCAGATGTTGATACTGAGATAAATTTGTCGTTGGTAACATCGCTCATTGGAAGGTCGCTTAAATGCTAGTAGCGCAATAGATAGGCAGCACTGCACTGAGCGACGTGTGAGGCAGCCTCAGCACAGAGTAAGTATCACAGAGCGCTGTCTACAAGCAATTACAGCCGCCATAATGCTTTAACGGTCCTTAAGCCGTATATTGCCGCGGACCAAGACATCATTGATATGGCGACACATGCACACCATTGTGAACCTTGTGACGTTCACTATAAGTATACGGTTTGTCAGCGGAGAAAGTGATTGGAGTAACGTCCTATAATTGATGATCGACAGAGTAGTAGTTACAATGCCTACCTCACAAATAGCAATTTCCTCTGAACCTTTTTGTCCGAGTGAGCGAGTGAATGGGACTTGAGATACGAGCCAATGTTCAATTACGTTTATTGCTTCTTTTCAACATTGAAATAATTTAGCTATTAATAGAAGTCGAGTGAGTAGAGAGCACATTATGTGGATTATTTCCTCTTTTTGAATTCAATAAAGTATCATTTTCTACAAATCAAAGGATAGATATATATTTTAATTCCATAGTTACAAGTCGCGGGTAACCGTTTATATTAAAAAAGTGCAATAAATATTTAATATCTATTTTAAAATACTATTATAAAAGTGTTAAGCTAAAACAATACGTAATATACATCTCCATATTATTAAGGCAAATGTTTGGGGATAACTAAATTGCAAGCCTTGGGGTATCCGATAGCCCCCGGCTGATACTCGATGCAATTTCAAAGTTGTAGAATAACTTGTCCTAAACTGCTAGTGACCCGTACGCCGCCGCCGCCGCCGCCGCCGCCGCCGCCCCCGCCCTCACAGAATGTCTCCACTTAACTTAATTAGCTTTAATTAAATACTGGAATGGTATTGTTGTTATCAGTAACAGTTGCTGTACAAACAAAACTTTGTTTTTAATATAACTTTAACAAAGTTCTCGATTAACAACGCTTCATCTTTCGACTCACAAAAGAGACCGGAGCAAGAACCGGTAATGATAAAATTGAATATTATATGTAAAAACATAATTTATCTGTATATTAACGTGAAGTTTAAAGTTTAGATTTTAAATAAATGTTTTAGAAAGGCAGATTGAACCTTACAGCTGTTTGTTTTGCAATCCGTCAAACTTTCGCACTTTAGAAGATAATTGTTTGATCAACTTTCCAATAACATGCGTCAACCTTTCCTTATTCAATTTATTGTATTTTCATGTTGAAACAATTTAATGGTTGAGAATATTATCATGTTTATGGTAAGCTCGAGTGACTGCAGTTCACTGCGCGGC